TCTTAAAAACGATATTTATCTCCACACAAATTGCTTTTAGGATTTTCGACAAATAGTTTAGATGATATGACAAACCTTTGAGAGTTTTGCACAAATCAATAAAGTGTAAAGCTTTTTCAAAGAACATGAACACAAAAGAATGAAAATTTTCTTTGAAAGAAGAAGAATGAAAATCTGAATTTTTTTTTTTTTTTGCACTCAAGTGTCGTATGAGATTGATTTAATGTTTTAGAAATGGAAACACTCTCACATATTTCTACTTTTTCATGTATTCTTCGCGAATCAATGCCAAACTTTCATGAAATGATATGATTTTTCATGCAAAAACCAAACTAATGGCTAGTTTTTTCTGCGCACGGTGCATAACCATGCACAAATATGGTGTAATCCCATACGTGCACATGGGTTTCTCCATGCTTCATGCTAAATTCTACCCATTTTGATCTTGGTATTTTGTAATATGTCCAATTCTTCTCATTAATATAATTATTTGAACAACAGATTTATAACCGAAGTACCTTCATAGCAAATTCATTCCCACAATATTGACATATTTCCATATTCGTTCAACTAAGAGGCGTAACCCCACAAGTGCAGTATTTCTAGTCAACGGACCCTAGCGTCGATGGCAGATCACATAGCAAATATTAATGTGCACAAGTTAACACAAGTCTAGCTAGCCCTTTTCCAGATTCTCTCTTTAATTTGTAATTCGCTTGTTAATCACAATGCACAAGATTGTAACTTTGTATCAAAAAGTGAAAATAAAGCACGAGCACAAGAGCAAACATAAACACAAATAATGTCAAATAATGTAACAGCTCCATAGAAGAAGACTAAACTTTAAAGGGAAACAAAACACGAATCTCCATTACATGAAAATAATGTTCTATTTAAGACAGACATATATCCTTTATTTGTTCAAACACTATTCAAACCGACGGAATGTGTGTGTGTGTGTGAAGAACTAAAAAAGAAAATATATATTGAGCAAAGAATTATAGCTTGAAGAAATTGTGTGGCGTGTGTGTGTGAAACCATTTTGTGCCGTTAATACTAACGGAAGAATGGCCAAACGGCAAACTTCATCATCCCAGTTTTGCAATGAAATCCATTGCGTTCACCACAAGCAAAATAATAAGGCTGCCATCTCTTAAGCACAAACTCAAAACCTTCTCCTCCTCCTTGTGTCACTTGTGCAATCTTCTGTGCTCTTTTCAAATCGCAGTTTTGGAAACTCCAAAAATTTTGCAGCAGATATACACTGTGTGGAAATGTGGTGTCGTTTGGGGGATCAAACTTGAATACTGCATGCATGCATGCAACAAATAAATATCAGTTGCTTAGATATTGGAAACAATAAGCAAATTATAACAAAGTTAACCTTTTAATATGGACTTATTATTCAACAATATTAAACTTTTTACATGTTAAATAAATGACATTAATTTAAAACATAACTCGAGAATGAAAAGGCAACATACCGAGTGTGTCATTCAAGTAAAAGGGGCCATTTCTGATAGCCCAATCAGTATAATTAAACCCAAAATGCCAATTCTCAGAACCGCCAACAATTATTCTTTTCGAAGTTTGATTTGCATTCCAGCGTCCGTAAGGCCAGCCTGCAGTGTGATTCCAGTTTCCATTCCAATCTGCACTGAAATTCTTGTTGGCCATTCCAATGCCAAACATGGATATGGTCACAAGAATCACAAGGGCTCCTGCGTTTCCCAAACCCATGTTATTTTTTGCTCTCTAGTAAATGTACTTCTTTAATGGGAGTTTACAGGAGTAAATTAGATATGTTGTTGTATTGAAGAGATGGTATGTGGCATTTTATAGTAAAATTTTGTAGTAATCAAGTCAAAATACTTGTAAGTTGGCAGAAATCAGACAAAAAAATTCTTTATCTCTTAAGTTGGTTGGTAAGACTGAAAATTATTAGTGTAAAAGGTTGAAATTTAGAAGTGTTTTTTTCTCACATTTTCCCGGTCAACATCCACTTAGGTTGCAATTAATCCTATTTAGTATATTTTAAGAATCTTCCATTTATTGTGATGAAATAAACAAAAATCCCACGAGTCAGATAGAAAAAATAATGCTAGTTGACAACGTTTGGTTGACAACATCCGACTTGGTATCATCATATTCATCTATTTTAAAAAATTATTTTCTGCATCACATGTCTGAATTTTGACAACACATGATCGTCAACATTGGTTGACAACTATGTTTGTACACTTAGCTTTAGTCCAGATAGAATGGTTCAAGAAAGAATTGCTACCTAGTATTCTTGATTTACCTACTTTAATTCATTCGTTCTTTAATCTAAATAATATGTCGTGATGAGATTATAAGAACCAGCAAAAATTGGGTTTGAGTCATGTAGTGCGACGCAAGTTTAACTTGAATTGTTGTAGAATTGCTTGCATGGGATGGAGATTGACATTTACCATTGAGAGGAAAGCTCGAAACATGCCCTATTTGGTATAGATTAAAATTTATTAAAAAATTCAAGTTAAGGTCAATAATTATTTTTTACAAAATGTTTAATGGGATCCACAACATTTCAATTCCAACCACACATTTCATTATTTTTTTATCAAAATCTATTAAAAATCTAATTTTATTATACACCATTCGGGAACGTGGTATTAAAATAGGTAAAGGTTTTTTTTCACTGTTGTTATATTCATAAAATCATGCAAGTATTAAAAACTTGATAAAATCGAGTTCAAGCAATACCTAAGACAGTGGAGGACGCAGAATTTAAAAGTTGGGGGGATCGAACTTGTAAAGAAGTTGGGGAAAATTTTACAATCGAAAATTTACGTCCAAAAAAAACATACTTCATATAATTTTACATCCGAAAATTTACATGGGATATGACTTTTTCGAATGTAAAATTTCACAAAATTTTTATGTCATATTCCATATAAAATTTCATAATAAAATGATGAAAATTATATTGAGAAATTTGTATCGCAAAAATAATAAATGTTAATGAAATAATTGAATTTTTAAAAAAAATGCGAGTTAGACGTCTTTCTTTAAGACTCACATTTAACGCATCTTTAACTATNTACGAGTTACACGTCATTTTTTAATACTCACGTTTAACGTATTTTTAACTATTTTCGATATTTATTTGGACTATTCGATATGCCCATAATATAGTTTTCGAAATAAGTTTTAAAATGACATAAGCAATTTGTAGATTCGATTAGCGTATGATTGTCGGAGAATTTTTAAAATTAACATGTTATCGAAATTCAAATTTATTGTGATTTTGCTCCTATTTGGTGAAGATTAAAATCAATTTTTCAGTAAATTTTGATAAAAATTAAACAATTATAGATTTCATGAAATATGTTATTAAAATTAATTATTAATTTTGATTTAAATTAAAATTTAGATTTCAATCTATACCAAACACGATTTTATAAAAAAAAAAATCTCAAAGTTCCCCCCTAGGTCCGCCCATGATCTAAGATGTGAATTAAAGATCGACAACTTTTATTCCCTTTTGTTATGCTATTCGGATTGGTAGAAGGATTTGATTCTAGAGATTGCTCGATTCTCCATCAACTTGCAACTGGGTGGGTTAGTTCACGACAGTTTGACTTGGAACTCTAGCCATTTTTTAAAATTAATTTCAAAAGTCAAATAAAGTGTATTTTCAATATAAAAGATTGTCAAAGAAGGCAGTAATTCATCATTGCGTGGGAAAATAATACGGAAGTATTACCTGAAAATAGATGATATTGGAGTGACGCAATGTTGACGTTAATATGGAGATTTTCAAGAATTAAGTTTGTTTATAAATATTTTTGAAAATTAGATTGCAAAATTGAAGCTTAGAAATTTTGAGATTAGTTTTTTTTTCTTGTTTAATTTAACTTCGTATGTGTTTAATTTTTTTTGGTGTTTATATTGTATCCATAACACCAAGAAAAATAATATTATATTCTATCTAAAAAATTACATAACTCGATATTTTGACACATTTGAAGGAAACATCGATTGTAGACAAAAGTCTTTTGCAAGATCAAGAATAAAGTTGAAATGAATTTAAGATCATGTTTTAGTGAAAGTTCATGTTGAATATTCAAGTAGGTCTCTCCATTTTTTTTCAACAAAGCGTAATAGCACGTGAACACCCGAGCAGCCATGTGCTGCCCTCAGTGTCTGGCCTATAGCAATGCATATCTTCTAGTTTTTCTTCATGCTCATGCACAATATACAGTCCTCTCAAAGTATATTAGCTAAAAAGGCACTCTTCTAATTTCATCCAAAGCATTGAGAGTCCTTTGCATGCCCTACAATGCAATTCTTTGTGCACATCACTTCCTAAAGGTAATTTAGATTAATGCTTGTCTTCATGCCCTTCGTGAGTGCCTAGCCCAAATAGGGTTATCCGCTAATCAATGGCTAATTGAAAGTACCTTCATAGAACACTCGTTCCGACAATATATATTGACATATTTCCATATTTCATTCAACTAAGTGACGTCAACCCCACGACTGTACGTATTTCTAGCCAACGGACCCTTGCGACAAGGCCAGTACACAGTCAATGCACCCGAGTTAGAACGAGTCTAGCTAAAACTTTTCCAGATTCTCTCTTTAATTTGTAATTCACTTTACTTGTTAATTGCAATGCCCAGGATTGTAACTTTGTATCGAAAGTGAAAATAAAACACGAGCACAAGCGCAAACACAAACACAAAAACATCAAATAATGTAACAGCTCATGATAATATTTATGCTCTAAATAACTTGTTTCACAGAAGAAGATTGAACTTTAAACGGAAACAAAACACAAATCTCCAATACATGAAATTAGCACTCTAATTAAGACAGACGTCTATTCTTTATTTGTTCAAACATTATTCAAGCCAGTCCTCGCAAGAATTAAAAAGGAAAATATATATTGAGCAATACAATTATAGCTTGAAGAAAGTGCATGTGTGTGTATTGTATGAAGCTGTTTTCTGTCATTAATACCGACGGAACAATGGCCAAACGGCAAATTTCATCATCCCATTTTTGCAATGAAATCCGTTGCGTTCACCACAAGCAAAATAATAAGGCTGCCATATCTTAAGCACAAACTCAANATAATAAGGCTGCCATATCTTAAGCACAAACTCAATACCTTCTCCTCCTCCTTGAGTCACTTGTGCAATCTTCTGTGCACTTTTCAAATCACAGTTCTGAAAACTCCAGATATTTGGCAAAAGGTAAACACTGTGAGGAAATGTGGTGTCATTTGGGGGATCAAACTTGAATACTGCATGCATGAAACAGATCAATATCAGTCGCTTAGATATCGAAAACAAGAATAAAGATATAACAAAGTTAACCTTTTAATATGGACTTATTATTCGACAATATTCTAACATTGTACGTGTTAAATAAATGACATCTAATTTAAAATGTAACTCGACAATGAAATCTTAACATACCGAGTGTGTCATTCAAATAAAAGTGGCCATATTTGATAGCCCAATCAGTATAATTAAACCCAAAATGCCAATTATCGGAACCGCCAACAATTATTCTTTTCGAAGTTTGATCTGCATTCCAGTGTCCATAGGGCCAGCCTGCAGTGTGATTCCAGTTTCCATTCCAATTTGCACTGAAATTCTTGTTGGTCATTCCAATGCCAAACATGGATATGGCCACAAGAATCACAAGAGCTCCTGCATTTCCGAAACCCATGTTATTTTTTACTCTCTGGTAAATTTGATTGTGTTGATGTATTGAAGAGACAGTATGTTGCTTTTCATAGTAAAAGGCTATTTATAGTAAAAGTTCGTAGGATTTTTAAGTTAAAATACATGTAAGTTGGCAGAAATCGGACCAAAAAAAAAAAATCTTTTTTTTCTTAAGTTGGATGGTAAGATTGAAAATTATTACAGTGTAAAAGGTTGAAATTTGGAAGTGTTTTTTCTTACATTTTCCAGGTTATTCACTTAGGTTGCCATTAATCCTAATTAGTATATATTAAGAATCCTCCATTTATTGTGATAAAAATAAACAAAAATCCCACAAGAGTTATGGCAATTTCTTCATTTTATTGGAAAGATTACATGGTTTGGTTAGTTGTATAAAATTCGATTGTAATAATATTTTTGGAATTCGTTCTTATATCTAGATACTCGATAATACAAAGTGATGAGATTGTATGAATCAACAAAAAATGAGTTTGAGTAATGTAGCGGTACACAATTTAACTTGAATTGTTGTAAAATTTACTTGCATGGAATGGATATTTACAATTACCATTGAGATGAAATCTCGAATATAACTAAAATTAGTTTAAGCTATACGCAAGATGCAAGTTCTTAATAAAAAAAAGACATGCAACAACAAATAAATTTTTATTTCTTATTTAAAGATCGACTACTTTTTATCCCTTTTTGCTACTTCATTCGAGTTGGTAGAAGGATTAGATTCTAGAAATTGCTTGATTCTCCATTAATATGAAATTGGGTTGGTTAAGTTACAACGATTTGACTTGGAAGTCTATCCTCTTCCACAAATTTGTTGCCATTTTTCAAAATTAAGAAGAGTCGAGGGGCCTTTGAAAAAGTCAAATAAAATGCATTTTCAATAAAAGATGGTCAAAGAAGGCAGTAATTAATCAGTGCGTGGGAGTCTAAACGTGAAGTGTTGATTTCTACCTGAAAATAGATGGAATTAATATGAGTGTATAGAACTGTTTCTTCTGTTTTTTTCACTGATAACTCACATGGGGTGGGGCCCATGTGAGTTAAAATATTGGAAAAAACCCCACCCACCCCCCTGCTTGTGAGTATCTGTTTTTTCCATGTTTTCCTGCTTCTGTACACGAAGTGCGGTTCAGATTTTTGAGAATTAGATTGTAAAATTGTGGATTGTTTAGAAATTTTGAGATACATTTACTTTTTGTTAATTTAACTATGTGTTTTGCTTTTTATTAGCAATTCCCTGCCCCGTCCCCACGTTTAAGGAGGGACGAGTTGGGATCCCTGCCCCATCTACTATCTCATTTAATTTTATTTTATTTTTTATATCTTATTTGACAAGTAATTTTAATTGTCATTTTCTATTAGAACTAATGAAATTTCATGAAATTTTCCATTTAAAGTATTGAATACAAAAAAAAAAAAAAGGGCGGGGCACCCTTTACCCGTCTCTGCCCCGTTCGAGGAGGGGCCCGTAGATATCGGGTTTGTCGAATTTTTTTGTCATCCGTACATTTATGGTGTTTATATTATACTTATAACACCAAGAAAATTATATTCAATCTATTTTTTAAAAATTTTTGGAAGAATTCAATAGCACATTTGATGGTAACATCATTTACATACGGAAGTAATTTTTAGGATCGAGTTTCTACTAATACTTCTTGGCGGTCTGCAATGTGACTTTGGCACTCTCATTTTGGCAATTCAACACAAGAACATCTTGTTGCTTTACTTATCCCACCTCTTCTTTCATGGGAACTGTGGTTGGCCAGAAATTCTGCAAGATTTAAGGATGGGGCTATTAACTTACACAAAATTTGTGCAAAAGTTAAATGTTGGCTACACGAATTGAATGGTTTTCTTACACCTAGGAAAATGTCTCTCCCCTCCTATTTCTCACAGGTAATACACATTCCTACAGTTCCAATACGCGTAAAAACTCCATTCTTTTTGAAATGGTACCCTTCACAACATGATTATTACAAACTAAACATTGACGGTGCTAGCGCTGGAAATCCAGGCCCGGCTGGTTGTGGTGGATTGTTTAGGGATTGGCAAGGTAATGTTATCTATGGATTCCATCATTTCCTTGGAGTTGGTACTAACACTTTCGCAAAGGTATCTGCTCTAAGAATAGGCCACCAAATTTGCTATGTTCTTGGCATTGATAGAATTTCCTTGCAGTTGGTACTAACACTCTTGCAGAGGTTTCCGCTCTAAGAATAGGCCTTCAAATATGCTATGTTCTTGGCATTGATAGAATTGCAATAGAAACAGATTTTAAAGTGGTAGCCCATTGGTTTCATCATCATGTCAGCATACCTTGGTCTATTCGTCTAATTTGGGACGATATTTTAGAGTTTGCTCATGTTCTGTCTATTGATGTATCGTATATATATCGAGAAGCTAACCAGGCGGCAGATTCATTAGCGCGACTTGGAGCTCAAGGTAGTTCAAACTTCATAGAATCTATCTCTAGTTTCCCTGTTTATACTATTGGTTGCATCCGCTTGGATAAGTGTAACTTGCCTTGTTTTCGTTTTTCGTAGTTGTACTGAAGTTCTATTGTGAGGGAAGTAGTACTTCTTTTTTATTGCTTTAGTTTATTTCTGTTGTAAGGGAAGTAATACATCCCATTTTATTCTCCGTTTGTAACCACGGTATTCCTCCGTCACAAGTGAGGTCATATTAATAAAATTTCGGAGGTACTGTCGCCCTCCTTCCCCAAAAAAAAAAAAAGTTCGTATAAATCATTCAGGGTCCAACCTGTAATAACCTCAATGGATATTCATTACAAACTTAAGTTCAGCAATAACATTGTGTCAATTACAGAAACAATAACCTTGGAATCCAAATATTAGAGTTAGGACATTTATTGAGCAAGTCCTATGTTTTCAACACGATCTTTATATACTTCAGTCCACAAACTTTTATTCATAGGATCTGTTATCATAAGATTTAGCGATACGCTCAAAGGCAAAAAAAGTTCATCTTTATTTGACCTTTAACTAGACACTTTATCTTGATTTGTTTGTTTCGTCTCCCACTTTTCTTATTTCTTGAAAAGTAAATTGTAACTGAATTATCGCAACAAAACTTAAAGGCCTCTCCATAGGTACGGAAATTGTTAAGCCTTTGACAAAAATTTTTCAACCATAATACTTGTGTTGTAGGTTTTATAACAACCAATAAATTATGCTCCATGATAGACAATGCAATTATAGGATGCTTAGTACTTTCCCAAGATATAGCTCATCTAGCTAGAAGACTGAAGGAGATTTTCTTGTGTCCACACATCCAACAAAATCCGAATCCTTATTTCCAACAACTTAAAGATTGTCAAAATTCTTATACATGAGTATGTAGCATTTAGTTCCTTAAAGATTCCTTATTACTTTCTTGACAGATTTCTAATGTTCTATAACTAGATTAATTTGATATCTATCCAGTACATCAACTGCTAATGCAATGTCGTGTCTTGTACAAACTGTCAAAAATTTTACTAGTTTCAATACAGTAAAGTGCATAAATAAAAACTTATTGACTAATCGAGTCTCGTGACAGTACGATGTCCTAAAGCGAAATTGTCCGTCGATAACGGTTGTGACCTCTATGGACAAGCACCTCCAAGATACAACGATCAAATAAACTAATTGTACAGCAATCACAAATGATTTGCAGAACTCTCAAGTGTACTCCAAAAAATATGTAAAATAAAGTATAATATTTTTTCTGAATCTGAAAATACAATTTCGTTTTTGTTGTATGTTTTTAATGCCCATATGTGTTTATATAGGCAGAAAAATCACATAACTGCCTCTATCATGATCCAGTATTTATTTATAATTTTATGGCTAGTGATAATAGGTTGTTAATACTGGACAGTTAAAAAATGTCATATTTTACTGGCTAATTCACCCATTAAATAATTCTGAAAATGATGAGTAGTACCAACTGTATTGATTAGAGGATGAGCAAATACTCTTAATGCTTCTATAGCTGCTATTCAGTGGGGTGTTTAGATACAGTGCACTCTTGATAGAAGCACCTATTTGAGTGTGGAAGTGAGGCCACTTCCTATGAGAATTGAAGCTAATTCTCAAGAGCACTCAAAGAAATCGGAAAAGTTCACGACCGAAATGAACACAACCGCGAGAACTCAATGATTGTTTTAGAAGTTATGTGTGTGTTCTATTGTCTCAGTTTGCAACTATAATTGCGAAGTTCAAGACATAGTTCACTCTACAGTTAGCAAACTCGATAGAATATACAAAGCCAAGGCTCAAGTCGATAGACACCTAGACCTACATGATTTCTAGCGTACTCCAGAATATTAAGTTGTACTGTCAAAAGGGTGGTACTTTTGTTGGGAAAGGGTATGTAGATGAGAGTCTATTTGAACTAAATATTTCTGTGATTAAATATAAAAGCTTCTACTTCTTCTGTTTAATTGCTTGATTCTTATGATTTATGGCATGCTAGATTGGACACGTTAACATAAATTCTATTAAAAAAATTAATGAGATTGGGAAATATTCTCAAATCTGATAAGTTTCCAAATACAAAATGTGAAACGTGTGTTGAATCTAAGTATGCTAGAAAATCATTTCCACATGTTGATAGAACTATTTCAGTTTTAAGTTTAATACATTCTAATTTGTGTGATTTAAAAGGATATGTTACCCGTGGTGGAAATAAATATTTTTTAACTTCATTGATGATTACTCTCGATATTTTATATTTATCTTCTTAAGAATAAGGATGAAAATTATTCAAAATTTATTTCATATAAAATTGAAGTAGAAAATCAGTTAGACAAAACTATTAAAGTTTTAAGATCTGATAGGGGAGGAGAATATACAGGTGAGTTTGATCAATTTTGTATTGATAATTATATTATTCATGATACTACTCCGTCCTATTCTCCCCAATCTATTGGTGTAGCTGAAAGGAAAAATAGAATTCTAAAGGATATGGTTATTTCAATACTAAACTCTTCGGATTACCTTTTAACATGTGGGGGAGAGCCCTTCTTACTGCATGTTATATTTTTAACAGAATTCCTAGTAAGAAAAACGAAAAATCCCCTTATGAATTGTGGAAAAGTAGGATGCCTTCATATAAATATCTTAAAGTGTGGGGTTGTTTAGCTAAGACCTCTATTCCAGCACCAAAGAGAACTAAACTTGGTCCAAAAACTGTTGATTGTGTTTTCATAGGCTATGCTCTTCACAGTAATGCTTGCAGATTTTTAGTCATTGACTCTAAAAATATTTTGATTGAAAAGAACACAATTTTTGAAACTAAAGATGCAGAATTTTTTGAAAATAAATTTCCTTTTAAAGAAAAGTCAGCAGGACCAAGTAGCTCTCTTAGTGTTCTTCCTAGTATTAGAAAGAAGCCTACCAAATTAGAAGAAGCTAAAATTAGGAGAAGCAAAAGACCTAGGACTACTACTTCTTTTGGTCCTGACTTTCTAACCTACTTAGTAAAGGATGATCCTAGTACCTTTGATGGAGCTATCTCTTCGCCAGATTCTATATTTGGAAAGAAGCTATAAATAGCGAATATGATTCCATTATGTCTAATAACATTTGGGAATTAGTAGACTTGCCTCGAGGATGTAAAATCATTGGGTGTAGATGGATATTTAAGAAAAAACTTAAACCTGATGGTTCAATTGATAAGTTTAAAGCAAGACTTGTAGCTAAAAGTTATAAACAAAGAAAAAGAGTTGACTTTTTTGATACATGTTCACATGTTACTAGGATTACCTCTATTAGGATGTTAATTGCGATTGCTTCATTGTATAATCTTATTTTACATCAAATGGATGTCAATACTGCATTTTTATATGGAGATTAAAAGAAGATATTTTTATGGACCAACCTGAGATATTTGTGGTAGAAGGTCTTGATGATAAAGTATGCAAACTTAAAAAATTCATTTATGGCCTTAAACAAGCTCCTAAGCAATGGCATTAAAATTTTGATATAGTTTTCACATCTAATGGTTATGTGATAAATGAAGCTCATAAATGCATCTATAGTAAATTTGATTATAGTTGTGATGTGATAATTTGCTTATATGTTGATGTTATGCTGATAATGGGAACTAGTTTAGATGTGATTAATAAGACTAAACAGTTACTGAAAAAGCACTTTGAAATGAAAGATTTGGGAGTTGTTAATGTTATTCTAAGAATTAAAATAGTAATAGATTCCGAAGGAATTACTATAACCCAATCACATTATGTAGAAAAGCACTTAAGAAATTTAACCAATACAATTATATTCCTGCTAAAACACCTTATGATGCGAGCCATCATTTGAGAAAACATTCAGGTCCTAGTGTTTTTGCTTTAGAATATGCTAGAGTGATCGGTAATCTCATGTATCTCATGAACTGTACTGACCTAATATAGCATATCGTTGGTAGACTTAGCAGGTATACTAGTAATCCTAATAGTGAACATTGGGATGCTCTCATTTGAGTCTTGAGGTATTTGAGATACACTCTAGACTAAGGAATACATTATACTAAATTACCTGCTGTACTTGAGGGATATTGTGATGCTAATTGGATTTCCGATACCAATGAAAGTAATCTACAAGTGGATATGTATTTACATTAGCAGGTGGTGATGTATCTTGGAAATTCACTAAGCAAACCTGCATTACGAGATCTACTATGGAATCAGAGTTCATAGTTTTGGATAAGACAAGTGAAGAGGCTGAATGGTTAAGGAATTTTCTTATGGATATTCCTTTGTGGTCCAAACATCTTCCAGCTATCTATGTCCATTGTGACAATCAAGCAGCTATTTCTAAAGCTCAAAATTCATCCTGCAATGGAAAGTCTAGACATATTCGTAGGAGGCACAATATTGTACGTCAGCTGCTTAAGGATGGCGTTATAGCTATTCATTATCTGAACTCAAGTGATAATATTGCTAACCCATTAACCAAAGAATTAGCTAAAGAGCTAGTTCAGAAAACATCGAGGGAGATGGGACTAAAGTCTATTACAAATTAGATCACCTATAACGGAAACCCGACCTTACGATTAGAGATCTCAAGGACAAGGTTCAATTGGATAACAAAGTTGTTGGAATGCTCTGTGGGGGTACTACATTGAATTTATTTCAAACCCCTCCTTATGATGAGTAGTACCAACTGTATTGATTAAAAGATGAACAAATGCTCTTAATGCCTACTATAGCTGATATTCGGTGGGGTGTTTAGATACAGTGCACCCTTGATAGAAGCATATATATGTGAGTGTGGAAGTGGGGCAGTTTCCTATGAGAATTGAGGCTAATTCTCTAGAGCACTCAAAGAAATCGAGAAAGTTCACGGTCGAAATGAACACAACCGCGAGAACTCAATGATTGCTTTAGAAGTCAGGTGTGTGTTCTATTGCCTCAGTTTGCAACTATAATTGTGGAGTTCAAGACATAATTCACTCTAGAGTTAGCAAACTCGATAGAATATACAAAGCAAAGGTTCAAGTCGATAGACACCTAAGCCTGCATGATTTCTACCGTAATCTAGAATATTATTTATATTTATCTTATTTCTTTTATGTGGGGAATTGTTAGATATTTATATTATAAATATAATATGTGAAATGAATAATTAATTCAGATTAAGTGCCTAATTGGTGAAAAGTGTGAAATTTGTGTGAGAGGTCAGGAGTTTGAATCACACCTCACGCATTATATTAAAAGTTTTTTATTGGGACATTGGGCTTAATTGATTCTAATAATAAATTATTATTTTTTAATTATTTTCGGAATTATTTAATGGGTCAATTAGCCAGTAAAATATGACATTTTTTAACTGTCCAATATTAACAACCCATTACCACTAACCATAAAATTACAAATAAATACTGGATCATAGTAGAGGTGGTTATGTGATTTTTCAGCCTATATAAACACACATCTGGGCATTAGAAACATACAACAAAAACGAAATTGTACTTTCATATTCAGAAAAAAATATTATACTTTATTTTACGTATTTTCTGGAGTACACTTGAGAGTTTTGAAAATCATTTGTGATTGCTGCATAATTGGTTTATTTGATCGTTGTATCCTGAAAGTGATTATCCACAGAGGTCGCAGTAGTTAACGAATGGCAATTTCGTTTTAGGATATCGTGCTGTTACGAGACTCGATCAGTCGATAAGTTTTTATTTCTGCACTTTACTGTATTGCAACTAATACAATTTCTAACAATCTTATCGTTTTCTTATTAGGAATTTTGTTAAAAATATAACATGCAGCAAGAAGGGCGAAATGTTAAAAGATAATCCAGAAGAGTTTAGCATTGAAATAACCATAAACTTTAGAGTTCTATTTTTCCTTTCAACTACACCATTAGATTGGGGAGAATAGCTAGGGTGAAGTCGTCTCATGAATAATATCATTATCAACATAAAATTGATCAAACTCACATGTATATTCTCCTCCCCTATCATATCTCAATTTCGAAAATTACATATTGTTCCCCACACTTTTGAATGTTGCATATTGGTTCCAAAATTATTTTTTTGAAATTGATTATTTCAATAACAATTTCGAAAATTGCAACTGAATCCTTGAAATATTATTTATTTTTATGTGCAATTAAAATTAATTTTCAGAAAATCAAAAATATTTTTTTATTGAAATAAATTATAAAAAAAGTATTAAAAATATCTTTTTGGACTTAATTAAATTCTGAAAATTTTATAAAAATTAAGAATATTTGTTAAGTGGTATTTTTCTAGTGAGAGTTTTTTTTTTAAAGTGTTCTATTTTTTTTAAAATGAAAAAACTCCGAGTTTTATATAGTTTTATGAGCTGTATGGGTCTTGATTAGGTTATGTGATCCATTGTGACTTATTTTTCAATTTTGTGCTCGATCAGATATGGTTGATTACATGTACACATTTAACATATTTAAAGGAAATGCTAGAAAAGCATTGGTTATAGAACTTGTTAAAATGTTCTTTGCTTATCAATATAAGTAAATGGATCTAGAACATGACCTAATTTGGAATATGTGAATATTTTAGGACATAAGCTTTTGGTGATAAGTAGAATATGAGAATTTTGATTTCACTTCTCATTTGTTAAGACTATGTTGCAACAGATATTTAAATGGGATTAAAGATTTGTAAAATAAAACTTACATGATGTTAGTTTTATTTTTGGATTATAATTGAAGTTATCTTCTGGAAGAATTAATTTGTTATATCATTATACATGTTATAATTGAATAAATGTGTATAGTTTTGCTTTTATTTTATCTAATTGAATACATGGTATCTATTAATTCATATATTGTTATAAATGCTGAGGTCGGTAGAATTAGTGAAATTCTTACTTGACCTATTGATTGTCAGTTTAGTGATAGTTCGATGATTGGAAGACTTAGAGAAAATCTCACCTAGAACTATTTAATTCATCAACTGAGTGAGAGTTCTCAAGTTGGAAGAATTAATGTAATTCTCACTTAGAACCAATGAAATTTTGCATTGTGAAATTAAGTTTATGATAGTGAAACAATAGGATTGCGAACGATGATCGGGAACATAGACAACTTTCGACTCTGTACTTAATGTTGAACTATCGTAGACATTAATTTGCATTGATGCAAAATTGAATGTACATAAATGAACATTGATTGAGAATAAAATGTATCTAAAAATTGATAGATCATGGCATCAAAATTTATAGTAGTTAACCTTAATCAAGGTGATAAACTAAATGCAATAACATTTGGCATGATAAGATTTTGAGTGTATTAGAAGGATATGATGTTTAGAGAGCATCAACCAAGCAATGAGAGACCTTATGTAGGTCATACTACTCTAGAGAATAAAGATCGGAACTTTGTTAAGTATGAGAAAATATAGATTCTTGTGCTTGAACATTTGAATTGTTAAATTCTATTATAAATGATCTTTTTTCTCGAATATGACTTGTCTAAGATGGTTAGCATAAAGTTGACCGTTTTTGTCGGTCACATTTTTTTAGATAGGTAGTAAGTTCAAACTAGTCTCTTTTTAAAAGATGAAATTTTGAAAGTCAATGTGGCTTACAAATTGAAATGTCAATTTTCTCTATTGATACTATCCGCTATGTGAGTTAAAAGACATGCGACTTGATGTTGCTAAGTCTCGAGGATACACTTGTGTAGTAATGTTCTAATTTGCATCAGACTTGGATCTTAAGCATTAAATGAGCTAGAACAAATACGGGATAGATAGAGAGACTAGAAAAGGGGACCAAGAAGAACATATCAGATAGTAAATTTGGTAGAGGATCAATGTTATAAAGGTTCAAGTGCTTCAACTATACGGTTTGAATCTCTTAGCTCGAAAGTGGTTAAATTAAAGGATAATGCACTTGAATATATTCTTCTTAATGTTGTTTACGTGTCAACACTATACATATTGGATCTTATATTTTGTGGATAGTGGATTCAAATGTTAGAAACCCACTTTATATGAGATCAAAAAGTATCTTACTCTATTGTCGAGTCTTTAACTTGATACAAAATAAATATATACAAATGATGAAGATGGAGTTGAAGTTTATATGACTGATGCTATAACTTAGTGTTGCAAAGTGGAGAAATTGACCTTCTATTTGATATTAAGATAGTATCCAAAACTCCACTAAACTTGATCTCAGTTGTTCTTCTAAGGGTGGTCTCTATCTTGAACTTATATGTAGAAGTTCTATTCATACTCACAGTGGTGATGTTTAATTATGATTTTGGATATTTATGCAATAGTTTGAGGTTTTGAGTTGAGAAAACCATTCAAAGCTATAAGAGCTAAACTTCCATTGAATAAATCCATTCGAATTCTTGAGAGATAGAGATGGATATTTATATTTTCATTACATTTATAGATGGATTCACACATTTCAGTTGTGCCTCTGATTTTCTTAAGTTGAAAATATTGTGTTGATTTAGATTTCTCTGAAGTGGAGTAGAAAATCAGATTATTGAAGTGAAGACTTTGAGAACTATTTAATAGCGTGAATCTCTATCACGAAATATCATTGATCTATGTTATGGAAGTGAAGACTTTGAGAACTACTTAATAGTGTGAATCTCTATCACGTAATATCGGTGATTTATGTAATGAAATAGATTCTTATTTGATTGACTATTCTTTAATCATCAATAATTATATGGTGTATTGGGTAGAATGATGTAATATAACTGAATATGATGAGGTCTGAGATATGCAGTCCAATTTACTTATTTGCTTTTGGAAATATTGTTGATTAACTACAATGTATCAGTTAATGAAGATCTCTAGATTAATACATTTAGAATTGTATGAGCTTTGGACATGAGGACAACCAAATATGGGTTGTCTTAAACTCATAATCGATTATGTAAGTTCTTAATAATGAGTCTGGGAACATGGGTCTATTAAGAACGGATGAATCTCTGAGATACACATAACAATCCAAAAGGTACTTAAGTGAGATTTCGAATGGATATTAGATCACAATATATGACACTTGGCATTTCTTTCTTAGTAAGAGAGAGAATTTTGGAGAATATTATGAAAGTGATATTATGTATATTGATGAATTAGTTTTTTTGGATACGTAAGAGTTTATTTAAACTTCAGATTCAAGTGGGAGTAATTTGTTTCCAAGTGAGAGTTATCATTCGAGTGAAATCTATCAAAAAATTATCTAATTTCAATGGTTCTTAATTCTGAGTGGGAACTAAAAGCTATTCAATTTCAATTATTCATGGTTTAGAAAATCAGTGGAAAATTTTGAGAAAGGTGATGAAGTATATATGGAGTACATAATCCCAATCTAATTTGAAATGTGAGGAAAGTTCTAATTGAACATTATGTTTATTGAGAACATTCAGGTTCTTAAAAATTACGTGGAAGACTAATGAGTTTATGATAAATGAAGCTCATTTTTTAAAGAAAGGTTATACTCAATATGAGTATATTAAAGAAAGTTTATACTAAATATGAGTATATTGAGTTTGATAAATTTT